GCTGAACCAATGGGACAGCTGATAACCAACATCCAGGAAAAGGTCAACCTGGTTAACGGGTACTTTGTGTCAGTCTTTCATCAGTCCAATGGCCCTGCCTAGCAAGATTTGGGACGGCCAGGGTGAGGGCATATTTATACCCAGCATCAGTATTGATCTAGTAAAGGATCACCTTGAGAGGCTGGACACCTTCAAGTCAGCTGGTCCTGACAGATTACAGCCTAGGGTACTCAAGGAGCTGGCAGGTGTCATAACTCAACCATTGGCAAAAATATTAAAAAATTCATGGTGCTCAGGTAAATACCTGAAGACTGGAAGAAGGCCAATGTAGTACCCATCTTCAAGAAAGGGTGGAAAGTAGATCCTGGGAATTACAGGCCAATCAACTTGACCTCAACCCCTGGTAAGATTTTCATGAAAATTATCAAGGAGACGCTTCTGGACAAGCTGACTGAGGGCAACATCCTGAACGATAGCCAGCACAGGTTTGTTGTGGGTAGGTCTTGTTTGACCAATCACATCTATGACCAGGTGATGTATCACCTGGACAAGGGAGAAGAGATTGATGTCATATACCTGGACTTTAAAAAAGCCCTTGATCTGGTGTCCCATGACCTCCTCATGGATAAATTGGCCAACTGTGGGTGGCCTCAGCTAAACTACAGTCCGATGACTGGGAAATTGGCTCTGTAGTCAAACCCAGAGAGTAGTGGTCGACGGCAGCAAGTCATTATGGTGCTCTGTAACCAGTGGCATCCCCCAAGGCTCTGTCCTCAGACCGGTTATCTTCAACATCTTTCTCAACGATGTGGATATTGGTGTCAGAAGTGCGCTGGCTAAGTTCACCGATGATACTCAACTTTGGGGCATAGCGTCCACACCTGAGGACAGGCTAGTAATCCAAGTTGACTTGGATAAGCTTAGTAAGTGGGTGGACACAAACCTGGTGACGTTCAATACTGATAAATGCAAGTTACTCCACCTTGGGAAAAAGAACTTGCAGCATACTTATAGGCTCGGCAGTGCTACTCTTGCTAGCACCAGTGCTGAAAGAGACTTGGGGGTCATGATTATCCACAAGATGAACATGAGCCACCAATGTGATGTTGCAACTGGTAAGGCAAACAAAACCCTGGCTTACATATATAGATGCTTCTAAAGTAAATCTCAAGATGTCATCCTCCCACTGTACTCGGTCTTGGTGAGGCCACAGCTGGAGTACTGCATCCAGTTCTGGGCTCTGGAATTCAAGAAGGATGTTGAGAAGCTTGAGAGAGTCCAGAGAGCCATGCACATGATCAGAGGGCAAGAGCTCTATGAAGGGAGGCTGAGCGCCATGGGACTCTTCAGTCCTGAAAAGCACAGGCTCAGGGGGGCCTGGTGGCTACCTATAAGTACACAAGGGGTGTTCAACAAGATCTGGGAGAACGTCCGTTCACCAGAGCACCCCAAGGAAAAATGAGGACCAACGGTTATAAACTCCTACAAGACCATTTTAGGCTGAACATAAGAAAAAATGTCTTTACTGTCTGAGCCCCCAAGACCTGGAATAGACTCCCTCCAGATGTTGTGCAAGCACCTACTCTGGACTTATTCAAGAAACGCTTGAATGCTTATCTTGCTGGGGTCCTTTGACCCTAGCTGACTTCCTGCCTCTGGGGCAGGGCTGGACTTGATAATCTTTGAGGTCCCTTCCAGCCCTAACGTCAATGAAATCTATGAAAATCTAGAGGCATCTGCCCCTCTGGGCCAGCTGCCAGTGGGCTGTGGCTGCAGGCTTGGCCTTTGTGTGGTACTATTGCCATGTGTGCCCCTTGCCTGACTATCTGAGCAGCTATTGCCTGGAATATGTTCCAGGTATGGTGGCCTGCTTTGAACTGTTAAAGCACGTCCCTCTGACCCCAACTAGCCAGGAGGTCAGTCACCTCCAGCTGGGTCCAAGGTGCCAGCTCTGAGCAGGCTTCTCTGTTTGGGTCCTCCCACTGGCCTCCCTAGCAGGAATTCTGGTGTTCCCTATTTGAAAACTGAAAAATCCCTGATAAAAATAACCCAAAGGCACTCTGTAAAATACTCTGAAAGACATGTTTCTCCACAATTAAAACAAAAGAGCACTATATATATATAGAGAGAGAGAAAGAGTGAGAGACAGAGAGACAGCGATCAGTTGGGCAATGTTTTATTGATATATCTGCAGTGTTAAAGGAATATGTAAGCCTACCTATGTCTCTATCATCATAATAAAATGACTTCTAAATACCTATATGTTTTGCTGTTTGCCTTTGGTTTTCGTACCATAGAGCAGTTAGAGGTCCCTGTGACCCCTTCACTAAGCAGAGTGTGGGGACAGCTGCCCTGCAGCCACAGCTC